AAACCGAGAACCCTAAAAGCCCTAAAAGCCCTGAAAGCCCTAAAAACCCTAAAAACCCGAAAGCCTAAAAACCCAACCCTAAACCCGATCAACCCTATTAACCCTGTAAACCCGATAAACTAAAAGCCCTATAACCCCTATAAACTCTAAACCAAGACAGGGCAATGGAGCCCTGGCGGAGGTGTTTCTTTCCCAGGTGTGGCAAGGCCATTTTTTCCAATTTTTTCCTAGGTGTGGCGGGGCCCTTTGTTTTCCGAGGTGTGGCAGGCCAGTGTTTTTTCCTAGGTGCGACGGGGCCCTTTGTTTCCCTAGGTGTGGCCGGGCCTTTTTTTCCTAGGTGTGGCGGGGACATTTTTCTCGGTGTCGGGACCGTTTTTCAGCGGAACCTTGTTTTTCCAGGGTGTGGCGGCGGCGGGCGCATCTGCAAACACAGTGCTTTGACAGGCTTCGAATGGATTCGAAATTAACCGGGTGGGCCTGGAGTCTGAGGGTTTAGGGCCCTAGGGTCCAGGGTTCGCCCTAAACCCCAAACCTTAAACCCCAAATCCCAAACCCTAAACCCTAACGGCCCTAAATCCGCTGAGACTTGGATGCTTGAGGGTGTGCAGGGTTTAGGGGGTTTAGGGTTTGGGGTTTAGGGTTTAGGATTTAGGGTTTCGGGTGCTCGAGACCTTGCCCAAACTTTTGACTCGGTGAGCAGCCTCAGGCATTGGCGTAGAGTCCCAAACCCTAAAACCCTAAGCCCTAAAACCCTAAAACCCTAAAACCATAAAGCCCTAAAACCCTGAAGCCCGAAAGCCCCAAAACCCTAAAACCCTAGAGCCCTACAACTCAAAAACCCTCAACCCCTAAACCCCAAACCCTAAACCCCCTAAACTCTGAACCAAACACCCCGGCAACCCCCCCCCCCTGTATCCCTAAATCCTAAACCCTAAACCCTAAACCCTAAACCCTAAACCGTGCCAAGCAACACCGACTTGGTCATCCCGCACGTGATGGGCTGGATTTTGGTCAAAAGGCCGCGGAGCCTCGAGCCCCCACCCAAAACCTTCTCACAGAAGGTTTAGGGTTTAAGGGTTAGGGTTTAGGGTTTAGGGTTTAGGGTTTAGGGTTTAGGGTTTAGGGTTTAGGGTTTAGGGTTTAGGGTTTAGGGTTTAGGGTTTAGGGTTTAGGGTTTAGGGTTTAGGGTTTAGGGTTTAGGGGTTTAGGGGTTTAGGGGTTTTAGGGGGGGTTTAGGGGTTTAGGGGTTTAGGGGTTTAGGGGTTTAGGGGTTTAGGGGTTTAGGGGTTTAGGGTTTAGGGTTTAGGGTTTAGGGTTTAGGGTTTAGGGTTTAGGGTTTAGGGTTTAGGGTTTAGGGTTTAGGGCTTAGGATAACTTGGTTGCTGTTTAACCCCCCAAGAAAAGTTTAACTTTTAGCTCCCTTAATGTGAAACTAGAGGAACCCTAATTTATACTTATAAAATGATAGTTGTAGTAAAGCCCCACCTAGTCCTGACAAGGGCAAGAAAGTCATTGTGATGACATATTGTTTGGTGGTTTAAGCGAATGGTAATGTCCTGACACGAGGGTGGGTTTAGGGATTAAGGTTTGCGGTTTTGGGTTTAGGGTAAAGGGTTTAGGATGGTTTAGGGTTTAGGGTTTGGGGTTTAGGGTTTAGGGATTTAACATGATTTAAGGTTTAGGGTTTAGGGTCTCCTGGGGCTGAGATCGGAGCCCCTCAACCGCCAAGCTGCTTCTCGGTGAGGAGCACGTTCGCCACCAGCTCATCCACATCAAGCACGAAAGCGAGCGCCAAGCAATTCAGGACAATGTCCTGCGAAGAGTACAGTCAAGGCTGCGCAACCCCTACCGCAAGAAGCAGCAAAAGCCTACCACAGCCCACTCTTTTGAAGATTTTGAGGATAGAGAGAGAGAGAGTGAGAGAGAGTGAGAGAGAGAGAGTGAGAGAGAGTGAGAGAGAGTGAGAGAGAGTGAGAGAGAGTGAGAGTTAAAACAAACAAATGACCCTGAATGCAACCCTATCTCAACACTTGCTCTTGGCTGCACTCAGGAGGGTAGCGAGAAATTAAACTTTTAGCTGCCTTAATAAGAAACCCTACAAACCCAAACAAGGTAAGGATCTAAAGTTACAGTAAATAGCTACAAAACCACAAAGTCAAAAAACCCGGATCTCCAGCCCAAGGCTCCAACATGCCAAGCCGAATCTGGGTGCTGCTGCTGGTTTTTGGGTTTGGGGTTGGGGGGGCTTAGGGTTTAGGGTTTAGGGTTTGGGGTTTAGGGTTTAGGGTTTAGGGCTCTGGGGTGTTGAGGGGGCTTACGGCTCGGGGTTGAGAAAAACCCGGCAGTCCGCCAGGGAGGCCGTCTGAGCGACATAGACGGAGCCGACCACGGCTAGCGCACCTTCCCACGAGAGCGGGGGGAGACGCTCCCTACTTGAGGCCTTGAGGGGCTTAGGGGCTTAGGGGTTTAGGGTTTAGGGTTTAGGGTTTAGGGTTTAGGGTTTAGGGTTTAGGGTTTAGGGTTTAGGGTTTAGGGTTTAGGGTTTAGGGTTTAGGGTTTAGGGCCCGGGGAAAATTCCCTTGTAGGCAGAAACCTATTTTGACCATCTGCTTGCCTGTTTCTTGCTCAGGGGGTTTCGGGTGAGGTGCGAGCCTTGGGGGAAAGCTGGGAGGGGGACCATGGTGTTCACAACGGAAGAGTTCAGACGTTCCCCTTCTTGGGGGAAGTGGCCCGGACTCCTTCGGGCCTTGAACCCCCCTAAACCCTAAACCCTAAACCCCAAACCCCAAACCCTAAACCCTAGCCCCAAACCCTAAACCAACCCTAAACCCTAAACCTAAACCCCTAAGGACAGACTCTGGTGTAGAGCATTCGGGCTTTCAGGGTTTAGGGTTTGGGGTTTGGGGTTTAGGGTATGGGGTATTGGGTTACCATAAGAGGATATGCTGGGTTTAGGGTTGGGGGGGGGGGGGGAGGTTCGAAAATAAGAGGGCCTCTTTTTTGTCTTTTCTTTCTTTTTGTTTGTGGGGCAGCGGAGGTTGTCAAGGGATATCTTTACGATTCGGCGCGATGGAGGAACTCCCAACATATTGAAGTTCCTGAGCAGCGACCGATTCTTGCGGGCTTCCGAAAATAGGGGTGCCCTTTTGGGGGTTCCTCTAAAAAGGATTATACCATTTTGGGATACCAGAGGTACCCCCCCAATTTTTCGCAAGTGCCCATTTAGTGTTCAGGTCCCTAAACCCTAAACCCTAAACCCCAAACCCTAAACCCTGAACCCTAAACCTCGCTGCAGCCGCGGGTGCTCATGATGAAGAGGCGCGGCAGGATGAGCATCACAAAGGCGACGAATCGAAGGCAAGGCGATATGCCTCGAACCTCACTAAGGTTTAGGGTTTAGGGTTTTTCTAGAAGGGACCCCTTCATCTTGTTCCCTTACAAAATCCCTGTGTCTGTTGTATATCGTCCCTATATACTCAAGTAGCCCCTAAGTTACCCCTAAATTGCCCCTAAAGGGTCCCTTATAAGGGTTCCTCATTTAGTCCCTTGACCTCAGCTGTGTCAGGCTTCGCACTCCCAACACTGTTGCACAAGGCCCGTAGTGCTTTATGCGGTTTAGGGTTTCATGGGGTTTGGGGCTTGCAGCCAGAACTAGGCTCCATTTAAAACCCTAAGCCGCTTAGCCCAAGCCCTACAAGCATCTCAAGACCCGACCCCCAGTGGACTTCACACAGCAATAGGGTAACAACATATAGTCAAAACAAGGAAGTAAGAGGGTAAACGTAAAGGCAACGACCATAAAGCAACAATACGGTGCTAGGCAACGATAAGGAAATAATGAAATATGAACATGGCAGTACAAACGAAATAGTAAGGTACCAAACAAGCAAAAACAGGGTAACAAAAAGGGGACTCTGACAACTATCAGCAAGTCCTATAAGGAGTCTATTGCCGTAGGGGACCGAACTTGACACCTCACCATTCTTGCGATTAACTGAATCCTAAACCAAGCCCGAAGCCCTAAGCCCTAAATTCCCACCCGGCCTGCTTCGGCCGTACCCACCCTTTTCTAGGGCGCCTGGACCCACAAGATATCCGGCAGTGATGAACACCTTGACTGGATAAACAATGGGTGGAGCCATTGGAGAATTATCGAATAGAGAGCCCTCGGGCTCGCCTTGCCATTAGGCCACCAGAGTGGCGCCCATATTTACACAGGGATCAGAACGGCTCAAAAGTCCACCACCCTAGAGCCACTGGGCCCCCCTCTGGAGGCCCCCTGGACCCCGACCCGAAAATGCTGAAATCCGGTGTCCGCCATGGCCCCTCCGGAGCAAAAAAAAACCTGCAGGGCCCCCCCCCCGGGCCCCCTGGCCCCTCCTGACCCCCCCTGAAAAGTTCGATGGAGCAGTTTGGGATACACACAACATTCACAGCAGTGAGCAACTCATCAGTCACACTTGTTTCAGCACTTGAGCCTTGAGCCAAAGCAGCGACGACAGCTTTGGTCAGGTCAGGTCAGGCAGTGGATACTGCCAGGGCTCTAGAGGGAACAGTGTATTCTAACACAGTCCCTTGAGTCAACACTTCAGTGTTCGACTCACATCAGTCGTCTCGGCCTTGCGAGAAACTCGGCAGCAGTATACTATCAAATCAAAACCATCACATATCGCAGTAAACTCAACGAAAGCAGCAGTAACGAATCAGGCTCATCCAGTGCTTTTGCAAATTGCGAACAGTATCAGCAGCTGGCCTGTACAGTGCTGCTAGGTCTCACTTCAGCTTTGCAGCTTGCAAAACAGTCACCAAGACCAGTGAACAGTCGGCAGTTGCAGCTTGCTCAACGACCAAGCCAGTTTCAAGGGCTCAGGGCTCCAGTGACTCTGCAGTCACTCTCCATCTTCAGTCGGAAAGGGTCCCCAGCTCAGAGGCCAGTCGAATGTCAGTGACATGGCTTGAGTGGATACCCCCATCGACTATCTGCAGTTCACTGCAGTCTCTCACTCGGCTGGCGAGACAGTGATTGAGACTTGGTGCTCAGTCCCAATGGCTCGCCTCAGGCCAGTGACCACAGTGGTCAGAGCAGTGGCCTGTGCCTTGTCACCACCAGTGAATCCTGGCCTCCATGTGCCAGCGGGCTGGTCCTCATCAGTGATGAACTCTCCCAGCTGGATGGCAGTTGCCTCAGTCCCACATCGTCATCGGGGCGACTGTTTGGACTGAGGCAACTGCCATCCAGCTGGGAGAGTTCATCAGTGATGAACTCTCCCAGCTGGATGGCAGTTGCCTCAGTCCAAACAGTCGCCCCGATGACGATGCGGCGACAGTTGCGATGCCAGTCAGCGGCAGTCGACCGAGCAAAGAGATCCTTCGGCTCCCAGTCGACCAGTGTCCAACGACGAACGGACACTTGCTCTTGCGCATTCAGTGTGAACGGCACCTCAGTGAGCCCAGGGTCAGTGGTCACGATGTAATCACTGTACCTGCGATTGAAGAACCGCAGTGTGCCTTCAGTGACCAGATTGATGAAATGCTCAGTGGTGAACCGAAACGCCACCAGTGTCCACGTCTGCTCAACAGTGACAGTGGGCTCCTCGGTCTGTGTCTGCCACAGTCCACGACGCCACAGTGCAGCACGTGCACTCAGTGACAGATTGAACTGTCCAGCGTAAATCCCACGCAGTGAGAATTGCCCAGTCGTGCGCAATGTCTCCGCATCTTCAGCGCGTAGGCAGATCCAGCAGTGCTTGGCCACCAGTGTCTCCAAGACACTCGTTGGGTGACCATTCTCACTTGTCAGTCTGCCAAACAGTGCAGCTTCCTCCCTCGTATACTCGCTGCTCCAGTTGACAAATGGAAAGAGATCCACAGTTTCTCAAACAGCATCCATCCGCAGATCAGTGCAGTCATACAGGAGGTTGAGGACAGCTGGAGGCAGTCTGATCCTCTCAGTTCCATCAGTCTGCGCAGCGAAGAAGCAGTGCATTCCACATGATGTGAGCACTTCCTGCACAGTGCACTCCAGTAGCTCCTTCTCATCTGCCGCTCTCTGCACCAGATCGCGCAGTTTGGCCAGTTCCTTGGCGAGCAGCAGTCGCAGATCAGTGAAGCTTTGCCAGTGGTTGGGGTAGCCTTCGACAGTTGGGTACTCAGCATTTGACACCCAGTACCACCTGACAGTTCCTCCATGGAACAGTACCGGCGGCCGTTCAACCTGGATATGATCCAGTGGCCTCTCACTGACATTGAAGGGCCAGTTCGCCATTGTCACTTCAGGCACCTGACTTGCCAGTGACATGCGCTGTGTGGCTCCACTCAACTCAGTGGCCAGTCTGCCATTGTGAGTCGTCACAGCTCTTTGCTCGAGCTCAGTGATCTGGGGCATTGGCTCATCAGTGGCCAGTGCTGCCACATTTGCGATGGCATTCGACATGGTGGCAGTCTACAGAACAGTGAGGAGGCAGAGGGCAGTTAGGCAGTGACTTTTGAGTCGCTCAAAAACACAGCATGCAAAGCAGCGCAGCCCAAACTTCTATGTACAGTTTTCTTTCTACACATGACACATGTAAAAGACAGTTTTCCAGCTTCGAAGAAAACAGTGAAAAATCGTTTCGAATCGACGAAAACAGTGAACGTGGTTCTCTCCTCTCAGTCTCTTCTTTCTGCACAACAGTACATGCACAACTGCACAGTGACACTCAGCACAAGCAGTGCTTTGCTTGCCAGTGCTCCTTGGGAGCAGTGCTTGTTTGTCTGTTTGTACATGCACAGTGAACAAGACAGTAACACACAACTCACACAGCACAGCAGTGTTGCTTATGTTTATGCTGCAGTGTTGTAAATCCGCAGTGCCTTCGGCACAGGGCGTCCAGCAAACCAAAACAGTCCTGCAACCAACCCCAAACAGTGCATCAACCGCGGCGCATCATCACGAGCATCAGTACGCGGGCGCACACAAGGGGGCACGCAAACAGTTAGAACAGGTTACTATGAACACCTAAGCGTCCTTTCAGTGATGACAGTGTTTCAACGCTGACATATTTGGTGAGCAAATCAGCAGGGTTGTTCAGTGTTCCTACCTTCAGGACCTTGATCAGTCCAGCTTTCACCAGGTCTTGCATATAAAGGAACCTCAGTTCCACATGCTTAGTGCGCTTGCCAGCACCAAAACGCGTCGCCATAGATTTGCCTGCAGTGGAATCAGTGTACACGTGAACATTGACCTTGCGGGTCAGTCCACTCTCCAGCAACAGCGCGCGAACGAACAGTGCCTCGCTCGTGCCTTGACCAATTGCATACAAGTCAGCTTCACCGCTTGACAGTGCGATTGTTGATTGCGCGCGCGCAGTGCTTTGAACATTACAACCAAGGACATTCACAGTCGAACCAGAGGTCGACTTGCGTGTCTTGTTGCATCCAGCCCAGTCACTGTCAACATACGCATTTACATCCACAGGGACAGTGGCACCAGACAGCTGGTGCGTCGGTCTCAGCTTCAACACCGACAGTTTGGTACCAGCCAAGTACCTCAACAGGTGTTTCGACTTTCCAACCGCCTCAGTGGTGGGAGCAGTCACGTCGCGTGACAGTTCCTTCACCGCGTATGCAACATCAGGCCTTACAAACGCATACCACAGCAGTTTGCCAACCGCAGTGCGATACTTCTCATGGCCTTCTTTATCCAGTGGCTCAGGCATCAACTGCCTCAAGGATGACGAACCAGTCGTGGCAACGGAATTGCACTTCGACAGGTTGTACATTTCAAGCAGTTTGTCAACGTACGAAGGAGACATGCACACATCAACGCTATCACCGCAGTGACGCAAGCGGCGACCAAGAAACGTGTGCTCAGTCCCTTCGACCAACTCACCAGTGATCTTCACGATCAGCTCTTTCTGCAGTTCTTCAAGAAACTGCCGTTTGAGCTTGTCATTTCCAATGATCAGTAGATCGTCAACATATGCCAAGACAAACAGTGAACCACTTTCATGACAGTAAAGATTGCCATCGGACTTGCAGCGCTTGAACTTCAGTTTCTGCATCGTAGCGGCAAAATGGTCTTGCCACAGTTTAGGCGCTTGACGCAGCCCGTACATTGCCTTATTCAGTCGCCAGAGTACTTTCCTGTCAGGGTAGTACTCAGCTGGCGGCCAGACGAACACTTCGTCAGTCATTGCTGCGTGTAAAAACGCAGTTGACACATCAGCAAGCGTGATCGTCCAGTTTCGAGCAAGGGCCAAAATCAGCAACACACGCAGTGTCACCAACGACGGTGTGCTCGCGAACAGTGAATCCAGGTCCAGTTGGCGAGAGTCCTGGAAGCAGCCTTGAACTACGAGACGCATCCGCAGTTCTATGTCAGACTTCCAGCGCTTGACCCACTTCACGCCAATGGCACCCTTCACTTGCTCACTTGAGCAGTTTTCTACGGGCACTTCTGTATACACTTCGAAGTCCTTCATGGATCCCATTTCCTTATTCATGCCAGTTGCCTGTGCTTCTTCAGGAAACTCTTCAGTGGCATCCCAAATGATGGAGTTTGCCAGTTTCGCCTCGGCAACAGCTTCTTCTTCATCACAGTTCACTTCAACGGAAACAGACGACCCATCTTTGTTGCGAACTTCAGTTGCACTTGTCGCGGAAGCAACCCAAGACCAGTCATGCTGATAAGCTTCAGTTATAGCGGCAATTCTTTGCGCTTTGCCCAGTGGCTCAGCGTCAGCTTCAGGATCAGGGCGCGCCATTTTCGACTTAGGCTCAGCGCCTCCTTCTTCAGCTGATCTCTTGGAACCAGTGGGCGAACTCAAGGGTTCAACTTCAGCTTCACGTTCTTCAGACGCAGTTTGCGGCTGTGTCTCCAACACATCATCCATTGGCTCTCTAGCCAGTCCAGGCGGTTCTTTCACTCTGCCAGTGGCTGTGAGATCTTGCGGCAGAACAAACTCAGTGATCGAATCTTTGCCTTCACCTTTTGGATCCCAAGGCAGTGCGCGGAACATTTGAACAATCTCCTTTTGCCATTGCAGTGAGGGTTGCAGTAGGCGGACAGTCCTCACTTTCCATGTTCAGTTCCGATGATCACTTCGTCTGCTTCCGTATCTCGACCAAGCCACATGCCAGTTACCCAGGACGGGAATGCTTTGCGCGTAGCGTGCGGTCCAGTCAACTTTGCTTGCACAACTTCGCCAAAGCAACACAGTCCTGAATTGTAGTCTCTCTGCCAACGACGCCAGTAGCTTGTATGGCCATCCGCGTGTTCAAGATAGCGGTTCAGTAGAAACTGAGCATGCTTCACTGCCCACGGGAACAGTGCATGATCAGATGTCACTTCAACGCCAGTGCTTTCTTGAAGTTGCAGAAGGACAGTTCTCAGCTGCGCGTACAGCGTCCTCTGCATTTGGCCTACGCTGCCCATCGCCTGCTTGTGAGCAGTGGGCGCAGCGCGTGTGCTCATGCCACCAAGCTCTTTGACAGTCGACAGAACTAGGTCCTTCAATGGATTTTCCTTGTCGTTACCAAATGTCCTGCCAGTTTCAAACACAAACTTCTTCAGCTCAGCCATTGCGTACGCACCACCTTTCTTGGCAGTTTGCTTGTCAGGTACAACAACAGCCATGCCAAAGCCAGTTTGCACGTCTGTGGCAGTCAACACGGTTCTCAAGGGAAGCGACTTGTGCGTGCTGACATAACAGTAATCCACTTGGATCACAGGCTGTCGATCCACTTGCTTCAGTGAAGGGCCATGACGACCTTTCGCCTGAACACAGCGCGGGCACCAATCTCTGAACGGCAGATGTGTCAGTTCATGGACACGTCTTTCTGCCTCAGTGGGTTCTTTAGGAACTTTGAGAGGCTTAGCCTTGTAGGCAGTCTCTCGAATCATTTCCTGAACCTCAAGGTTCGGTGCTCTTTCCAGTGGAACGAACAGACAGTAGCCAGTCCAGGTATGACCCAGATCAGCTCTCGGTTCTTCACACTTCGTGACACTTCCATCAGCTTCAATCATGTCAGACCACAAATCCTGAAAACCAGTGTCGATACGAGACTCATCGGTCGAGGTCGTGAAGTAAGTGTAACGATCAGCCCACAGCTGGTCAGTTGACACTCTCTCCACATCTAAGGCCGTGGCGCAGTCCTCAGGATGAAAGGCGCAGCTCCTAGGCGTGTGTAACATGCGAATCCAGTACCTTGGCAATTTCAGCCAGTAATCACTCGTTCTGGGTTGACCAGTTAGAGGATCAGGGCTGTTGAAGAGCCGAACCAGTTCAGCCTGCATTTCGGGCCCATGATACACTAAGCTTCGCAGTCGCGAAAGGCAGGCATCAGCTTCCGCAGTCTCGCCTCCTCGGCTCGAAACAGGCCTAGAGCGGGGCGGGCGGGCGGGAACAGTGGCAGAAGGGGTGGGCGGGCGGGAAAACGCAGTGACCGCGGGACCAGGGGCGTTCGGGGCGGTTGTCGCGCCAGTGCGCGGCGGAACGCGGTCAGTTTTACCACCACCAAAGAATTTCGTTTTGCCTTCGGGCAGTCGGGGGCTCTGTTTGCCCTGATGCCGCAACTCAGGTTTGTAACGCAGTTTGAAAACACACTTACCTTTCCAGCGGACAGTGTCCTGCGCAGTCTTGTCTGCCAGTTTGAGGAAATCAGCATCCCTCACTTCGACAGGCGAAGCTCCACCTCCATACAGTTTGGTGGTTACTCTTTCGCCAGTGAATCTTGACAGTGGGACAGGCAGGTCACGACACTGCACTGGGGAGAACAGTCCCATGCGCCATCGGTGATGATGTCGCGTCAGGGTCAAATGTCGCTCATCCAACTCCCAACAGTCTACTGCAGTAGCCAACAACTCATACATCTTGGAGACATGATCAATGCTGCAGTCTTGCACATCACACACTCCAGACAGTGGCATGTCCATGTCATCTTCGCTCAAGCTCTCCTGTAGCAGTTTCGGCAAATCTTTCACACATCGCTTGGCATCCTCAGCACAGTGATATGGAACCACAGTCGGATTGAGGTAAACCAGTGTGCCTTGCCGAACTATCGGGACAGGATCCTGATTCACAGTCAGCAATGCCATGAAATCTTTGCTCATGACAGTCCAGAAGCCTTGCAACAGTAGTCTGGACACACTGACCAGTGGGAAGGGTATGGACTTGCACACATAGAAATTGATGCACAGTGAGTGACCATTGCAATCGAGCTGAACAATTCTTCGACCCAGTACTTCAAGGGTTTTACCCGATATGCTTCGCAGTGCTGGAGCATCATCATTCAGGGGAAGCAGTGGGTAATCATCAGCAAACCACTCAGGACAACAGTGAGCAGAAGCGCCAGAATCAAACAAGATCCAGCTTCTGTCAGATAAAAAACTTGCAGATGAAACTCAGTGAGCTTGTCTACAGGTGTTGTTGTCTGCTCAGCTGCAGTTTCTGA